TGATTCCATTACCCTGGATCAATGAAAATGAGAAAGTTACTTTTTGACTTTTTCTTTATGTTTTAGGTCATGATGATTATATATCCTGACTACCATATATACAGTATAGTGGTTTAATACATGGAGAACTGAAGACTCTAGGGGACAGAGACTTTTGCCTATTGTCTATAGGCATGGCTTATAATTGGGCTTCTGAGACTAACAACTTCCATGTGCCAGTCAATCTGTGATCTTGAGCACAAACATGGATTGGTGACTCTTCTTGTCTTTCATTCACAAAGATGAATCTATATGCTGGTAAGTTTGTCTTACTCCAGAGGATGTACGCCACAGCCAATCTTAGGGCCCAGGTACATTATGAGAACCACTTGAGTGAGCACATTGCTGTCCAGGTCAAGTTGCTGTTTCTCACAGAACTCGTTTTCAACATGTGCAAATGTCTCCAGGGGACATTAATGAACAAATTCTTTCCAGTATTTCTCATTATCATTTTGTATCACGGCCCCAGGTTACACACTGGTCTAGTGCCAGTGGGACAATCAGTCACATTTCACTGCTATGTCCAATCTCAGAAAATTCATCAGATAGTGAGGAGCAACTCTTTACTCCTAAGGAAAAATGGACTGTTATCTGGTTTCCTTTCCACTTTCAGAGAGAACTTCAATTTTGTTAATAGCAACCTTTCTATTCCCATCACACCCATAAGCTGAGAGAACAAAATCTCTAGTCTTCTGGGCTGTTGCAGCAGTTTCAACAACTCTTTATGTTTTTCTCTATATCCACAGTTTCTCTTTAGACCTACCAAGTTGACCATATTGCCCCCTGATTCTTTTCATGGTTCTCTTTAAAACATAAAGTTCAAAATCTAGTTGTAACAGAGAATACCTGTCATAATCTAATTGACCCCCACTTTCACTTCAAACCAACAAAACAAAGCAACTAACAAGCAAACCCCTTGCTCTGTAAAATCCTTCTCAAGAGATTGTTCTACATTCCTGAATGCTGCACAGCTGTAGCCTTTCCCACACAGCCCTTAGGAGTATTTCTTGTTAATGGGTGGAGTCTGAAATATCACCACAAGCTCAACAGCCAGTGATGCTATTTTTAGAGGTTGTAGAGCCTGGCTGCCAGAGGTGGGTCACTGGGTACAGGATCTCACAAGTTATAGCTAGGTTTATTTTGTATCTGTTCTCATATGCGAAGATGCAAGGAGCCTTTCTCATAGTCCCTAATTCTGTGAACTGCAACATGCTCCCCCACTGTGATGGACTAAAACCAAGAGCCAAAATAAATTCTCTATCTCATAAATTGCTTCTGTATTTTGTCACAGTAATGAGAAAATCAATTAAGCCAGTCCTTGCCTGAATTATTCTTCTTCATACCAATACTTCCCTGGGTAATTCATCCCTTAATCTTCTGTACACACATATACCTGTATTTTAAATATAGGCGCAATTTGTGAGAGTTCTGTTTACACTTTAGAGTTGCAAGTACTTTATTCAGAGGTAAGAGTCCTCCTTTTTATATTACCAGTCTGATTGAGAGCAGGTAATGACTAGTGAGTCAGTCAATTAACTGATGAATAGATATTAATATCTCCACCTCAATCAAAGAAAAGACAGACCAAGTTTATTAGAGTCATAAATAGAATGCTGGGTATCCATGTTTGTCTTTCTTATGTCTTACTCCAAAATAGATTTAAGGAATTTTTCAAAATTGTGTACATCTGACAGGCTAATAAGTAAGTAATGGTGGACATTAAGACTAAGAGTAATTGGGGAATTGTGTGTTGGACTTAAATCTATGTTAGCTTTATCCACAAGCAAATGCAGCCTTAAATCATACTTTTGGGGAGATACCAGAGGAGACTAAACCACACATCCTTTGAAAAGAAAAAGATAAGTTGTGGGGATAAAAGGAAGAGGATACAGAAACGACAACATTTTAACTGGAAACATCCAACAGTTAGATACAGTATACTAGACATGTGGAATTATATCTGTAATGTTAACTTGCTCTAATCTTCACTGTTGTGGATTATTACTTTATGTAAAGATGTGCTACATTTATTTATGTTGTGGACTGTTACTTTAACTATGTAAAGGTGTGTTACATTTGTTTGTGTTGAATTTGTTTAACTAGACAAATACGTGTTATATTTGTTTATGCTTCAATTGTTTAATTACGTAAATACATGTGACTGTTTTACCTTGCCTGCCCAAGGCACCTGATTGATTCAATAAAAAGCCGAATGGCCAATAGCTAGGCAGTAGAAGAATAGGCAGGACTGACAGACACAGAGAAAAGTAGTAGGAGGAATCTAGGCTAGAGAGAGAAGAGAGAATGAGGGAGAGAGAGAGAGAGGGAGAGAGAGGGAGAGAGAGAGAGAGAGACACCAGGGGCCAGCCAGTAAGGCAGCTGCCAGCCAGTCAGCCATGGAAAAAGCAGGAAAAGTAGGACATACAGAATGAAAGAAAGGTGAAAAGCCCTGAGGCAGAATTTGATGAAGAGAAACAGGTTAAGTTATAAGAGCTCATGGGACAAACATGATAAGGCTGAGCATTCATAATTAGTAATAAGTCTTGGTGTCATGATATGGGAGTTGGTTGATGGCTCAAAAGAAAGCCTGCTATACTTCATAGTCCGTATAACTATTCATAGCTGCATATCAAGTTTTTGTCAAAGGCCTGAGAATTACATAACTCATCATCAGATATTAAGATATGAAAAGTTTTATTTACTGGGGATATCTAACTTAGAGTTTAAAATTTTGTTCTGGAGGTTTGCAATCAAATATAAGGTAAACAAACTAGATATGTATAATTTTAGGAAATAAGCTATTTGTGTTAGTAAAGAAAAAATAAGTAATTTGCTTTCCTTTGCAACATAATTCTAATTATTATGTATGCTGCTTAATTGTGTTTATCAGACACTTAAGACTTAACAATTTGGAAAGATCACAAAAACAGAGAAATAAAGAAAACATGGAATCTAAAGGGACACTGAAAAATGAAAGCTTGGAGATTATCATAAGCACAAGAATTATTGCATTTTACACTGAAATCATCATGGGTTATGATGACACTTAGAAACAGCAGTCTTTGTTTTACAATTAAATCTAAATAATTATGGTCCACTCACTGGGAGATGATCAAACAGCTGAATTTAATGTAGAAAACCCATAGAAAAAATGTGGTCTTTAAATTCTACACACAACTTCTATTCACTTTCTGAACACTCAGTGAAGTCATGGTAAAGTCCAACAGCACTGAGAGTCATTCAAATTTATTGTGATAGGTGATTCTCTGATTTGCATATACTCTTATTAAAAGCTTATTAATGTGACTGACTCCTAGGCAGAAGAAAGACACATATCATGGGGTATGATAATTGCCTTCACAAGAGATGATTAACTGCATTTATTCAGTTCTTGCAGTTTTGAAGGGAGGTATAAAATTAAGTGATGCTTATAGAAAGTTCTTATTATGCATAAGGTAAATACTCAATGTTTTAAGAACTCATGTCCCTTGGATATGCTACTGGATCAGATTCTCTGTTAGCAATTATATCTAGTCATCAAGCCGTGTCCTCTTCTTCCTCCTTCTCTCCTTTCCCCTGCTCCACTCTCTCTTCCTCCTTATCTTTCTTTGGTTTTGAAACAGGGTCTTACAACATAATTAAGGGCTAGCTTTGAACTCACAATCCTCTTGCCTAACTCTTCCAAGTGCTGAGGTTCCAGGTGTGAGGCATCATGCTGGACTGCAGCAGTGATCTTTGGTCTTTGAGTCCACATTCCAACTTCAACTCAAAAAGTGAACATCCTTGATGAGACAATCATCAGAGTGTCCATCTCTCCAGAAAAATATGCCTTCTGTGACCCCTTTCAAATCCGTCCAATTTTAGTACTTACTCAGCGGAGAAGAAAGAGAATGGGAAACATACGACTAATTAAATCTAGTAGTTTAAACAAAAGAAGGCTTTAACTCTGAGTTTTCAAAGAAACTCCACCTACAATATTCTTCAATAGATTATAGAACTGAAACTCTTCCAGTCAACTCTAACAGGCAATCAGTTGCAAGGTAGAGACAAGCCCCATCTTATTTCTCCCACTCTTTCTCTGTGCCTGAGGATGAGGCATGAGTTTGGCGGTGGCAGGGTCTTAGAGATGGAAAAGATGAAGCCAATCCCAAACTGAATTTTTTGGGTTGATGCTGAGCCCAATAAGGTGTTAAAGGCTGTTGGCAATGCTTCCACTGAATAGAGCTCTTGTAACTGCTCTCAAATGAAGCCATCAGATCAGCCAAGTTTAGACTGGCTGAGGAAGATACGCTCACCTCTGTGTATGTGTTGTACCCAATAGTTCTCAATGAATGGGGTGCTTTGTGCTGATTCCAGAGCAATACACTATCATTGGCTTTCTAATGCTATGTAGTGATGCTTCACTGGATGTTTTAGAACTAATAACACGTGCATATCAGCAAGAGCAGAGCAAAACTCTTTGAGTGATGGAGTTAGCACAGCTGGATAACTAAAGCTTACAGGGAATGCTGAGACACAGCATTGTGCTTACTGTTAGAAATGCCTATGAAATACTTGGGGAGGAGGTTTTACAGGGTAGGAGATTGGGGATTCATTTTTTTGTATATATGGTATGTATATGTTATACATGGACATATTTATATATAATATGTATTTAGTTATATATGACAAAGTCAGACCACAAACTTGAAATCCTCCTGCTTCAGCCTCTTGAGTACTTTGATAATAAGTATGTGCCACCACACCCAGCTGAGGTCTTTTATTATGTGCCTAGATGCATCTGACCTAATCATTCTTTTCTACCACACAATCAAGATACATTATTGCCTGTCTGATTGAGATACTGCTAAATATTTTGTATAGACAAATAGGCATGTGTGTGTACAAGCACATTGTCAATTCGTACTACCTGTAGATTCTGTATTTGCATATTTACCTACACTATGATTTATTTCTAACCTCAAAATTAATGTTTGTGGTGCTTTCCTAGTTACTTGCAGACATGTGGAGAATAATGACAAATTGAGGTCACCTGATGTGTGTACTACCAGCTGATGTTCAACAAGGTAACATTGCACCTTTTTTTTTTTTTTTTTTTTTTTTTTTGGTTTTTCGAGACAGGGTTTCTCTGTGTAGCTTTGCGCCTTTCCTGGGACTCACTTGGTAGCCCAGACTGGCCTCGAACTCACAGAGATCCGCCTGGCTCTGCCTCCCGAGTGGCGCACGCCTTCTTTTTTATAATTAAATAATTGCCTTTTCCTTGATATATTTGTTTTCATGCCTTTTGAATGGGCATACTTTTTTATGTTGGTGATTTTCTCATTTAAAACAACTGCTAGAAAAAATGCTGGTGTGCTATCTAATATTCAGAAGCATGAGAGTTCTGTGGTAAGAATTATGAAGAATTGTGGTTTTAAAAAGGGTTTGTGCAGGAATGTATTGTCACACTGCTACTCACAAATTAAATGTTAATTACATTAATGACATAGCTATATATTCAGTGATGCCTCTCTACATCAATATACAAAGTAAGACGATGTATAGACTGGTTGATGGAAATGTGTGGTGGGCCATCCCTGATTTCAAGCTCTACTACAGAGGTGTAGTAATAAAAATGACATGGTATTGTCATAAAAATAGACAGATTGATTAAGGAAATTGAATTGAAGCACCAGATGTAACTTCACACACCTATGGACACCTGATTTTTGCTGAAGAAGTCAGAATTATACAGTGGAAAAGAAGAAAGCATCAACAAATTGTGCTGGTATAACTAGATGTACACATGTAGAAGAATGAAAAGAGATCCATATCTATCACCCTGCACAAAACTCAACCCCAAGTGGGTCAAAGACCTCAACATAAAACCAGATTCACTGAATCTGACAGGAGAGAAAGTGGCCTTGCTCATAGAATCCCTCTTCTCTCTCTTTGACTGGACTCCTGGAGCTCTGCCTGGTGTCTGGCTGTGGATCTCTGTATCTGCTCCCATCAGTTACTAGACAAAGACTCTATGATGACAGTTAGGGTATTCACTGATCTGATTACTGGAGTAGGCCAGTTTAGGCACCCTCTCCACTATTGCTTGTAGTCTAAGCTGGGGTCATCCTTGGGGATTCCTGAGAACTTCCCCAGCACCTGGTTTCTCCTATCTCCATGATGTCTCCCTCTACCATGGTATCTCTTTCATTGCTTTCCTACTCCATCCCTGTCCAGCTCAACCATCCCGTTCCCTTATGTTCTCATTCCCCATCACCTACCCTCCATTGCCCAACCCTCATCCCCAGTTTACTCCTGGAGATCTCATCTATTTCCCCTTCCCAGGGTGATACATGCGACCCTCTTTGGGTCCTCCTTGTTAGCTAGCTCCTCTGGAGCTGTGGGTTGTAGTCTGGTTATCCTTTGCTTTACATCTAGTATCCACTTATGAGTGAGTACATACCATATTTGTCTTTCTGTGTCTGGGTTACCTCACTCAGGATATTTTCTAGTTCCATCCATTTGCCTGCAAATTACATGATGTCATTGTTTTTCACTGCTGAGTAGTACTACATTGTATATATGTACCACATTTTCTTAATCCATTCTTCAGTTGAGGGGTATCCAGGTTGTTTTTAGGTTCTGGCTATTACTAATGCTGCTATGAACATAGTTGAGCATGTGTCCTTGTGGTATGATTGAGCATTCCTTGGATATATTCCCAAGAGTGGTATAGCTGGGTCTTGAGGAAGATTGATTCCCAATTTTCTGAGAAACCACCATACTGATTTCCAAAGTGACTGTATAAGTTTGCACTTCCACCAACTGTGGAGGAGTGTTCCCCCTGCTCCACATCCTCTCCAGCATAAGCTGTCTTCAGTGTTTTTGAGCATAGCCATTCTGACAGGTGTAAGATGGTATCTCAGAATCATTTTGATTTGCATTTCCCTGATGACTAGGGATGTTGAACAATTCCTTAACTGTCTTTCAGCCATTTGAGATTCTTCTGTTGAGAATTCTCTGTTTAGCTCTGTAGCCCATTTTTTTATTGAGCAAGGGCATCAAGTTCATGATGGAGAAACCTACAGAGACAACCAAACCAAACTAGTGGGAACTCATGAAATTTAGATCAACAGCTGTGGAGCCTGCATGGGACTGAACTAAGCCCTCTGCATGTCGAGACAGTTCAATAGCTTGATCTGCTTCAGAATGCATCTGTGGTGCATGAGCAGGCTTTTTGGAGTCCACTACCTGTGACGAGACACTTTGCACAGCCTTGAGGCTGGGGGAAGGGCTTGGACCTGCCTCAACTAAATGAGCCTTACCATGGGAAGCCTTACCTTCTTGTAGGAGGAAATAGGGGGTGGGTTGGGAAGGGGAGGTTGGAGGGACAGGAGGAGGGAAGAGGGGGATCTTTGATTGGTATGCAAAATGAATAAAAAAATTTCTTACTATAAAAAAAGAAGGGGGGAAGAAGAGAAAGTGGGAAGTAGCCTTGAACACATTGGCACAGGAGACAACTTCCAGAACAGAACACCAATAGCACAGATACTAAGCTCAACAATTGATAAATGGGACCTCCTGAAACTGAAAAAGCTTCTGTAAGACAAAGGACACTATCAGTAGGATAAAACAGCAGCCAACAGAATGGAAAAAGATTTCCACCAATTCTCCATCTTCTGACAACGGGCTAATTTCCAAAACATATGAAGAACTCAAGAAACTAGACATAGAAAAACCAAATAGTCCAATTAAAACAATGGGGTATAGATCTGAACAGAGATTCTCAACAGAGGAATCTCAGAGAGCTGAGAAGCACTTAAAGAAATGTTCAACATCCATAGCCATCAGGGAAGCGCAAATCAAAAGGACCCTAACAGTCCATCTTACACCTGTCAGAATGGCTAAGATAAAAAACACAAATAGTAGCTCATGCTGGTAAGGATGTGAAGCAAGGGGAATACTCCTTCATTGCTGGTTGGAGTGCAAACTTGTATGGCCTCTTTGGAAGTCAACATGGCAATTTCTCAGAAAATTGGGAATTGATCTGCCTCAAGACCCAGCTATACCACTCCTGGGCATATACCTAAAGGATACTCCATCCTACTATAGGGATGCTTACTCAATCATGTTCATAGCAGCTTTATTTGTAATAGCCAGAAACTGGAAACAACCTAGATGTCCCTCAACAGAAGAGTGGTTAAAGGAAACGTGGTACATTTACACAATGGAGTATTACTCAGCTGCTAAAAAACAACATCATGAAATTTGCAGGCAAATGGATGGAACTAGAAAAAACCATCCTGAATGAGGTAACCCATACACAGAAAGACAAACATGGTGTGTATTCACTTATACATGGATATTAGCTCTAAAGTAAAGGATAATCATGCTACAACCCACAGACCCAGAGAGGCTAAGTAACAGGGAGGGCCCAGGAGGGAGACACATGGATCTCCCTGGGAAGGGTAAATAGAATAGATATAATAGGTGGACTGGGGGCAAGCTGGGGCAGGAACAGAAGGGATCACGTAGGGGGAAGATCGGGGGAGAAAGTAATGGGAGAGAAAACTGCAACTGGGAGGTATTGATGACTTTTTCTAGTTCCATCTATTTGCTTGCAAATTTCATGATGTTATTTTTTAACAGCTGAATAATACTCCATTGTGTAAATGTACCACGTTTCCTTTAACCACTCTTCTGTTGAGGGACATCTAGGTTGTTTCTGGTTTCTGGCTATTACGAATAAAGCTACTATGAACATGATTGAATAAGCATCCCTATAGTAGGATGGAGCATCCTTTAGGTATATGCCCAGGAGTGGTATAGCTGGGTCTTGAGGTAGATCGATTCCCAATTTTCTGAGAGAATTCCAATAGCAAGGTGGAAACCCAGTGCAATGGAAACTTAAAGGAATCTTTGAGAGTGGCCCTAGCTAAGATTCCTAGTAAGGGGGGCGGCGGGTATGAACCTGAACCAGCCATCTCCTGTAACCAGGCAAGGCTTCCAGTCAGAGGGATTGGGACACCAACCGAGCCACTAAACCTTTGACCTACAATTTGTCCTGCCTACAAGATCTGTTGTGGTAAAGGTGTCACAGAAATTGTGGGAGTGGCCAAGCAGTGATTGGTCCAACTTGAGACCTGTGATATGAGAGGTAGCCCATGCTTGACACTGCCTGTAGGACTAGAACCCAGAGGCTGGATAGCACTGAGACCTAGGGTAGAATCAAACATGACTTGAAAAAAAGGTTTGTTTGTTTGTTTTTTTCCTATTTTTTTTCATGATTCCTAATGATATTCTGCTATGCTTGTAGACAGGAGCCTAGCATAATCATCATCAGAGAGGCTTCATCCAGCAAATGATGGGAGCAGATGTAAAGAAAAAATCCCACAGCCAAACAATAGGCAGAGCACGAGGAATGCTGCAGAAGAGGAAGAGGAAGAATTTATTGTAGGAGCCAGAGGGGTCAAGGACACCACGAGAAAACCCACACAATCAACTAACCTGGACTCACAGGGGATCACAGAAACTGAACCTACAACCAGGGATCCTGCCTGAGTCTGACCTAGGTCCTCTGCATATATGTTACAGTTGGGTAGCTTGGCCTTCCTATGGGACTCCTAATAGTGGGAACTGGGGCTTTCTTTGACTCTTTTGTCTACTTTTGGGACCCCTTTCCTCCTACTAGGTTGCCTTGTGTAGCCTTAATATGATGAAGGTGCCTACTCTTATTGCAATTTGATATGCCATGTTTGGTTGATACCCCTGGGAGGCCTGCCCTTTTCTGAAGGGAAATGGAGGAGGAGTTGTTGTGGGATATTTTTTTTGTTGTTGTTTTTTCGAGACAGGGTTTCTCTGTGTAGCTTTGCGCCTTTCTTGGAACTCACTTGGTAGTCCAGGCTGGCCTCGAACTCACAGAGATCCGCCTGGCTCTGCCTCCCGAGTGCTGGGATTAAAGACGTGCGCCACCACCGCCCGGCTGTTGTGGGATATTTGTACATTGTGTGAAGATATATTGCTGTTGTTGGTTTAATGAAGAGCTGAACAGTCAATAGCTAGGCAGGAGGTATAGGCAGGACTTCTGGGCAGAGAGACAAAGTAGGAGGAGATCATCGAGGCACAGAGTAATAGAAACTCTTCATCATTATCTGTGAGCTAGTGGCCCAAAGAAAACTCCGACTACAAGGAGTGGGTGGGTGAGGGAGGATTAGGAGGAGAGAAGGGAGTGGGAATTGCTCTGGGGATGTAATATACGAGAGAAGAGTTTAAAAAGAAAAGAAAATGTGTAATGGGAGTCTTGCAGGAAGTTCATCCTATATCCCTGAGGAATATTAGCTGCTTTAGCTAATAAAGTGTCAGCTGTCACTTTATAGGACTTAATTACCAGGAACAATCATCTCTCTTTCTCTCTAACTTTATGTGTAAGATATACAATCTCACATCAATGCACACACCCATACTAAGAAATCGACTGCCACAAGCACCCTTCAGTCTCTTATATTGCTTATAAAACAACCTGTCCCTAAATCTTTTCCATTCTTTGGGATAACCGCCACTTGAGTATGAATGCCAGTCGTTCTTTTTTGTTGTTGTTCAGTGTTGCATGCAAATATTCTTAAGCAACAAATTGTTTACTTCTGCCTTTTTACTCTATATAACTGGCACCAAACAGTGTGCATATTCTGTAGGTTCCTTAAGAAAAAAAACAAAAACCGCATTTTGAGATTATGTCTGTAAGATTTCATGGTTTGTCATCCAACCAAAGTGTTCTAGTTTTCCCTTATACCAAGGATCTAATTGCATGAATTAGAAACCTTTATTCCTGTTTCTATTTTGATGCAGGTTACAGAGCCTAGGTCTTTATCGTTGAATCCACCCCAGTCACCAGAGATGGACTTACCTGAGAACTACACGGTCTCAGGAGAAGTGGCTCTTGGAACTGAGGCACATCCTGAAGGCTGCTCCTGGCCACATTCTGCTGTCGTGACAGGTCGTACCTTCAAGGGGATCTGGGTGGTATTTTCTCTGTGTCTATCATGTCAGGGAAACAAAACAAAGTAACCCCAGGCATTGCGAATGCATTTTCCCTTTCTGGCCTTGATGCGGCAACTGAGAAAGAGTAAATTAAGATGTCTGGGAAAGAAAACTAGAATAAAGTTCTTGACTTGAGATTTTATAGTGAAAATCAAAAGCTTAATAATGACTAGGCTTCATTATGAGATGGGAGCTGGGTTTTATTTGGCATAGAGCTAATCACAAATATAGGCATCTGACTCACAGGTACTCTGTATCATTATCAACCACTGATTCTTTTCACGTAGGTGAGATCTTACCTTTGCATAAAGAAACCCCCTCCATTTGGATATTCCTTTCTGTGGTCTTCAGTCCTCTCTGTAAACCTCTTTCTTTTTTTCTGTTGTCCTATAAAAATGATTATTTAATCCTGATTAAATTCTCCCTGTCTTTTAGTTGAAATTTTATGAAAGTTCACAGCTAGCTGTAATTCAAAATTGTCTGTGTTTATAAAGTCTGTTTCTTTCAGTACAGTATGCCAGCGCTAATCACCAACTTATTCTTCTGTGAATATGAATATATAAGGAAGATAAGGCCTACAAGGCCGAGAGATGAGCCCACCTGGAGTCTGCCTGAGGGCCTAGCAACAGGCGCTGTCAGAGGTCCTGATCTTCCTAGCCAATGAGGGGTGACCATACCCACCTGAGGATTATGGACAAAGCTGTTCATATCTTCTCCCTTATGAAGTTTGTTAGCCAGATATGGAAGTGTATGCAAGTTCCTGCTATCAAGTGATGTTCCCATGGTCCTGAGATGCTTATGTTTCCAAAACCACCAATCAAATGTTAGAAAAATGAGCCCCTTAGGATTTGATGAGAAACACGGCAAATGGGTGCTTTCTAATGCCTTGGCCCCTGGGTACCCAGAGTAGAAATAACATTTGTTCAACAAGCACAGAAAAAAATATCAGCTTTATCCGTAGGGAGAACTACTAATGTCTTTTTGTTTGTTTGTTTGTTTTGTAAAAGATTGTTGTGTTGTAAGAGATTTTTTTTTATTTTATTTTTATTTTTTTATACCATTGCATGACTTTCTGGGATTTTCATACCTATGCAGAGAATGGTACTGTTCTTTTCGGACATTTGGTTGGTGATTTGTGACCACAAATTTATACCTTGACATAACAGTGGCATCAAGCGCCTGATCCAAGCTCATCTCCACGTCTTCCTTCTCAGCCTTTTCTTTCCTTGCTCTTCTTTATGCCGTCTTTTCTACATGGGCTCCTCTTACTTCCTTTGGAGTCTTTTGTTTTGAATGTGCTTTTGGCCCATGAGTGACATGTGTAGGCATGGCCACATAAGATAGAACAAAGCTCAGGGACTAGAAGGTATTCTCAGTTTTACTGCCAAATCACAGAAGAGTGAAGCTTTGGCATTAATAGAGAATTTGTTTTAAAATGTCTGTGATTATTATATTTTATTTATTTTTGAAATAGGGTTTCATGTAACCAAGGCTGGCCTTGAATTATCTTTGTAGTTTAGGGGGATGACCTTTAGTCCTCCTTACATCTTCCGTCCTCCACCTCCCAGGTACAGACAGGCATCATCATACCTGGTTTTGTGTAGTACTGGCAATAGAATGCGAAGCTTCCTATGTGTTAGGCAATCGCTCTACCATCTGAGCTACAGCCCCAGCCCAAGAAAGGATTTCAAGTGATGCATCTTTTAGCATTGGTAGAAATATTAAAACCCAAGTCCTTAAGCCATTTTACCTTTATCGTTTGCATGTATTTTCCCCAAAATGAATATCTACCGGTCACAGATGGTAGAGAGAATATGTAAGATGCGGCTAAAGACTCTATTACATAAGAATGAAAAATACAGGAGGGCACTTGGATTGTTTTTCAACAGAATTTCACACATTTTTATCATGTTACTTGCATTCTAGGCCACAAATCTTCCTCTGGCACCAAAAGGAGACGTGGGTTGCTCGGGATTTTCTCCAGTCTGTCACGTCACTTCGCTGCCACCGTTAAAAAGCACTGTCTGCTCAGTCAGAGCAGACCCGTGGGGCCATATTTTCCCTTCCTATCTCCTTAAATGCACACACACACATTCAGCTACTGCTACCAAGACTCTCTTCCTTCCCCCAGAAGCAGAGCAGCAGTGGGTTCTGCTTCATAAAAGTTGAAAAGCATAAAAATGTTTGTTGTTATTGTTGTTGCTGTTGTGGGTACCCTGGTAACATTGGGCTCCTTTAGAGTCTGTAAAGATGGTTTCTGAGTAGATAACAACAACAACAAAAATTCTACCATTAAAGTCTTCTGTTTTCTGGATACCTGGGACAACCAGGGTTATAATTTTCTAGTTTGGCACACATTAATTTACCATCTAGTCATTAAAACTTTTCTCAGTCTAAAATGTAGAGAATGTACAAAGGGAAACAATTTCTTCATGTGCATATTAGAGTGGTCCTCCAAAGGTGCTTTGAGGCCCTCTCTGTGACTGCTTGTAATGCAAATGGGGATCATGGTTCACAGTCTGCATCCATAGCTTCTGGTCTCACTTTGGAAAGCAAATAGTTTTTTTTAAAGTGCCAATTTCTATAGATTTTGTAATCACAGAATAAAATTCAGAGGAAGACTGGGTAGGCATGGCCCTGAGAAAGAGTCACTGGAGGAAGTTCAGTATTTTTTTTTTAAATGGAGGTTTATTTTTTATGTGAGTCCTCAGCATCAGCTCTTACTTGAACACAAGAGGAAAGCAACTGTTAAGGTATTAAAAAACACTTAGTGTGCCAAACACCCGAGGAGCAGAGATAGGTAGGACTCTGTGAGTTCAAGTCTGACCTAGTCTACACAGGGAGCTCCAGGTCAGTCAGGGCTACATAGTGAAACCCTGTCTCAAAACAACAACAACAAAACAAAGAAAAAAGCAAAAATATCCCAACTCCCCAACAAACTAAAACAAGATGATCCATTCCCCCCAGCCACCTTGACACAGGCAACTTATAAAGATTTCAAGTGTATTTGTCAGGCAAAGCCATCATAGTGGTATTAATATATTCATCCCATAATACTCACTGTCCTTTCCCCTACTTTCTTCCTAGGTGCCATCAATGTTGTGGGTGAATAATTAGATCAAATCTGTGAAAATGCTTTGAGCTTTGAGGAAAAGGCCCTCTGAAAATATAAGTTGTCATTATGCTTGTCTCTTATAAGCATGCTAAACCACAGAGATCTCCATCTTGGCTCAGGCCTATCAATCTGTGATATTTAGACTTTGGAAAGCAGTGGGAGCTATCTCTTGACTTCTAAAGAACCACAGATCTAGAGATCCTGGTGGGAGACAGAGCAGCAGGATCATATGCCCAGGAAACCGCATGTGTGTTCTTTATCATCTGGTCACCTTCCCCTTCTAACCTCTATTCCAGGTCCCTCTCCACATGGTCCGGAGGCCTTGAAGTCCTCTGTAAAATTTATTAAAGCAGCCATTTTCATTAGAAAGGGCATTGGCATTAAAAGGAGACACTGATAGCTCATTGTTATCACTTCAGTCTATCACTCTCATTTAGAAGTTGGCATGAAGGGTTTGATGTACAGAACAATATCATCCGCTCTAATGATCTGTGCACTGGGACAGGACCTCAAAGAGTCCAGCCTCCCTGCTTCACACTGTGCAAGGGGAAGCAGTTCGTGCTCATGTTTGATTGGAAGGATGGGAACAAAGGCTGTTAAGAGGACTACACAAGGACCACAGGAGTCATAACAAGCCTGGTGAAATTGTTTCAACTCCCTTCTTCAACCTTAGCTGTTGTGACAAATGTGTCAAAGCTTTAGACAAGGAATACTGGATGTTGATGGAGCCTGGGTAGATGGAGGATCCTGGCTGCAAGTCAAGGTACCAAAACTGGAAAGAAAGAAAGGAAGGAAGAAAGGAAGAAAGGCTTTGTAGAAGGATAAGGTTCCTGACATTTATTCCTAAACTATCTTAGGTTTACTATGTTGAGAAAAGAAATACATCTTCGGTCTGGACAGCCATGTTATTCTAATTGCTTTATATTCATGTTGATGCCATTACAATTGGTTGACTATGGATCAAAAATTAAAAGCAATGGAAGGCTCACAAAATCATATAATATATACCTCAAAGCATGAGAGTAGTTTGCTACCAGAAGAGAAGGAGATTTTCTGACTGTGCTTGGGCTCGTTGTCACCATTCTGGAGATTCCATTTAGATTGACTGTGAACAGGCACGTTTGGGTTGTGACTTTTCTATAAGGGAATAAGACACATGTGAAAGAGTATTTGGCTTCCCCTGGGACCTGTGTCTGCGGGTGAGCTCAAGGCAATGCCTGAAAGTTGCTCTGAGGAAGTTACCAGTGTTTGTGATGCCTCCTGCGTGCAAGGCTCAAGTTCCCTAGGCTGTGAATGACGAGCCAGGACCACAGAGAGATGTTACCTACTGAATGCTGCAGATGACACCTTTTCTCTTCGTTTCCCTTTAGATTGGCAGTGTCACACAAGAAAATAACACCAGCGGCTTTGAAAAGAGGAGACAAAGACCCCACATATATGGAAATTTCATTAGCTCAGAATTCGCAGTACTTCTAAACTAGTATCCATCTTTTAGTGGCAATAAAAAAAAAGCCTTTAAAATACGTTTTTAATTGAAATAATATTACATCACTTTCCTCCCTCCCTTTCCTCCCTCTAGTCCCTCCTAGGCACCCTCCCTTAAACCCCTCCTTTGCCCCTTTCAAGTTGATAGCCTCTTTTTCTTTGTTTAGTGTGTGTGTATGCACAAATATATAAATATATATATATAAACACAACCTGCTTAGTCCATCTTTGTCGGTGGTTCATTTTGTTGGTGGTTTCCAGACTTACCACTCTGCAGTAGATAATCAGCGAGGGTGCTCATCCCCGGGAGAGCCTAGTTCGCCATGTCTCAGAAGTCATTAGTTGTCT